CTTAACTCAATGAGAAGAAAGAGGTGTACTAACATTGTTTGGACATGATATCCTGTCTCCTTCTTGTACTATGGATAACCACTAAGAAGATAACAATGTACAATGCATTGATTATCAAAACTGTCCTATTAATCAGCTGTGAAACTGTCTCATTCATATTTATTTCTCAATAAAAAAGAAAGCAGAAATATGAGCTTTCTCTATAACAAATTAAAATAAAATAAAAAATAAAGATGTTACAGAATGACCCAGTCAGTACCTGCCCACTTGCAACTTCCCCTTTGGTGCTTTTCCAGAAATTATCTTTTGAGTTCAACAACAACCATGAGTCACTGGACGAAGAGCTGTACCTCCTCATCCTCTCCTGCAGGAAGCTGTTTTACTTCAAAATCTGGGCTTTCCTTGATGTCAGGTTTGTGGAGCGGATCCTGAGGAGCCAGCGGGAGGGGCAGTGTGCCCTGCGCACACTCAAGGTAAGAGGCCCTGGCTGGCTTTGTGAGACAGGGTGGGGCATCTGGCCGGGCACAGTGCTTCTGCTCTGGGATGCAGGAGAAGGGTGAGGCTAGAGCAGGAAGAGCCATTACCCCAGAATCTGTCCACTGGATATGAAGGATTTCACAGAAGAGAATTTGCAGCCCCCTTAGTGCAGCCAGGCTTCCATGGCCATGGGCTTTTCTTCTGTGGGCTCAACCAAGTATAAACTGAAAATAGGGATATAAAAACAGCACCTGTGCTTTTTTTTCTTGTTACTCCCCAAACAACAGAGCATAACAGCTATTTACACAGCATTCGTGTTAGGTATGATAAGTAACAGGAGAGAAAATATACAAGAGAATGTGCGTGGCTTATCTGCAGTTACAATGCCATGTCATTTTACTTGAGCCTTCCTGGATTTTGGTATGTATGGGAAGTCCTGGAACCGATGTCCCACACATACCAAAAGGCAACCGTAGTTGGGTTTTGACCCGTCCTGATCCTGCCAGCAACAGTATGTGACCATTTAGATCATTGTTGGGTTCTGAATGACGTAGTCACTCTGTGTGCGTGAGCATGAGGGTTGTTTCTTTACTGGCACAGGTGAGAATCTATACAAACAGATATGAAACTAATGAAGAGGACAGGACCTTGCGGGAAATTCACAGGAAGTATAGAGACCTGATCGACTCCGGGATTAACTATTTTGTCATCGCTTACCCCATGATGTAATGAGCCTCTTCAGCAGAAGGAAGCTAGAAGCACTTGAACCTGCAAATCCACTTCTTGGAGAATGACACTTAGAGCACCTCCACACCATCCCTTTGCTCTTCCTCGATTTTGCCCAGTCTACACCAACATGAACAGCTGGGCAAATGCTGGACTGCTGGTTATGTGAAAGCCCCAGATGACTTTAAAGTGCTATCTTTACCAACTATCCAGAGGTGATCTCGCTGTTTGTTGTTTGGTTTTGCTTTTTGATGCCCCTTGCTTAGTCACTGAACAAAGAACCCAAAGCTGCTCAAAATCATTTGCTACTAGGGGAGCCTGACTGTTGGTCACCTCAAAGGTGTGTGACCAGCCAGTGAGCAAACATCTACTGACCAACATCACCAGCTGAGAAATCTCTACATCTGGGCTGACCTTCACGCGCAGATCTTCTGACACTGACATTGGCTAGGCCTGATCTCACATACATAGAAGCCCACCAGCCTGTCCTTGACTGAAGCAGGAAATTTTCCACTTTCAAAAGGTGTCGCTCAGAGTTGCAACTCCCTCCCCTGGGAGGAACTCAGACTCTATTCTTCAACCTCGAGGACTTAGATGTCCTTCTTTGATGTGTCTCCTTTAGTTTCCCATCCAGGCCACAATGTGGCCAGCCTGCTGCGAATACTCAGTCCTCAAGGATGGCACTGAAACAGAAATGACCAGTACACCCACATTCACAAAGAATTTGTCATGTGTGGGGAAATGTTTCTAAGACAGTGTTCAGTAAAAAAAAGCAGAACACAAAGCTAGTTAATATAAAATCACGTAAAAACATTTTTAAGGATTTATTTTATTTATTTATTTTTAAGGATTTTTTTTAAAGCAAAGCAGAGAGATGCCAAAAATGTTAAAAATTATTCAGTGGAGAGGTAAAATTATGGCTAGTTTTATTGCTCTTTCATGCCTCTCCAAATTTGCCAACTTTTTTTTTACAATAATCAGGTATTATTTTTATAATTAGGAAAAATTTCATATGTTTAGAATAATGAGTAATTATAAATTCCTGGTGTCATACACATAGATTGAAGGTTTTTATGCACATAGTTCCATATTATTTTTAACAGATATAAATTAATAAAATATCACAATGCTTTAATAAATGACTCACTTTAGATTTTGTGTCTTGTGTACTGTATGTGGCCATATGTGTGCATTTTAGACCTTTATTAAAATTCATATATAATGTCTCACTCTTCTCTTGTTACTGGGACAAAATACCCAACACACAGAATTAAGGAAAGGTTTATTTAGCTCATAGTTAGTAGAGGTTTCAGTCCATACTTGGTTGACTCCAAGGTAGAGTGGCACATGGCAGAAGGCAGCCATTCATGGTGGTGGAAAACAGCAAGAGCAAAGGGAAGAGCAGCAGCTGCAGCTTCTAGCTAACCTCTTTCCCCCCTTACACTGTAATGCAGATTACCCACCCCAAGGGCAGGTGTAGCACTCACACCCATAATCCCAGCACTGGATCATGAATTAATCACAATCTCTAGAAGTCCAACCCAGTGACTGCATAAGGCTTTGGGGGCACAACTAGACACAAACCATAACATATAACTAGACCTTTTCAATATTCAATGCATTTTGCAGCCACTATTTCACCTGACTCTCCCACAGTGCTATTTGGCAGACATGGTTGGCATTTCACTAACATTCAGATAAGATTTGACCAATGGAAAGGAGGAGGCTCCCACCTGGAGGAAGCTCCCAGATCTGATGGAAAAAGGCATCATGAAGGGTCATAATATCTGGAAGTGAAAGAGCCTAGAGAGCAGTCTATTGCTGTGTGAACTGGAGCTGATGACTTGCCTTGGGCCTGAGGGGAGCTTTATTCAGATGGATTGGTACAATGATTTCTTTGTGTGTGGACCAGTTAGTTCTATTCACCCCAAAACACAGAATCTAAGTATATATAACAGGAGCATGGCAAGTATGTTTCTCTGAAAATATTTTCTGTAGAAGGGTGGATTCATCTTACAGTTTTGCAGATGTTTATTATACCTGGCTTAGAAGTAGACAGGGAGTTCCCATACCCATCTGTGCACTCAGTCTGCTGTGTATCACATACCAGGTAGTCTCTCAAAACCTCCGGAGAGAATGGGAGTGAAAACAGACATGTGACATTTGGGTGTGGTTTTTTAAATAGTTCTGATCCCTTGAAAGAAGGGCCTCAGGAACGTTCAGAGAGCCTCAGAATACATAAGGAACTACTTGCAAAGATGTTTTGGTCATCTTTTATTATTATTATTATTATTATTATTATTATTATTATTGGTAGTAGTAGTAGTAGTAGTAGTAGTAGTTGTGGTAGTGCCACATTCAAAGGCCCAGTAAGAGATAGTTACAGCCAACAGACTTGCGATTCTCTATTCTTTCCTGGGTGAGAGCTTCGCATTAATGCCTGTCCTTCTCCAGGACAGAACATAGGGTGGGGGCTCCAAAACCTGTTACCAGACTGCAGGTCTGCAAAGACTACAGTTGAAGAAATACAAATGAGGAATGCAGTGTGTCCCGGTACTGTGTTTATGAGCAGAGATGCATTGTAACTGCTTAGGTCTTCCTCTCAGGTGCTGGCCATGGCTGATACAGTCCTGGTGACTTGGGACAACTCTTCTGTATGTCCAAGTTGCAATGGATTGGACACAACTCCAAAACTGACTTCTTGAAATGTAATTCCCATGGTTATAGCATTTGGAGGTAGGGCTTTTGAGAAGTAATTATATCATGAGAGTATGTAATCATGAATGGGATTAGTACTCTTCTGAAAGAGGCCTCGGAGAGTTCTCTCTCATTCATTCTACCATGTGAGATATAAGAAGCTAGCAACCTGGATGAGAGCCCTTACCAGAACTCACCCATGCTGACAACCTCATTTCAAAATAACAGCCTCCAGAACTGGGAGCAAAATAGTTCTGCTGTCTACAAGCCAGAACTTCAAAGGTGTCTCATTATATGTCAGCCCAGACTGACAGAAATGCCAGATGTAAGGAAAGTGGGGATATGATCAAACTGAAGTAGGAGTCATTCTCTTATTGAATGCAAGACCAGTAAATTGATAATGCAAGGCCAGTTTCCAAACACTCTCAGTGATGGATCTGTGGCCTGCTGGAAGGCTTCTGAGGCTTGGGTTCTTGGATCATTTAAACTAGCAGTTTATAGGACCCTGAGTAAGACCTTCACTCTGTTAAGGACTTAGTTTCTGCTGCCTGTAAAATGGAAGGAACTGAGAAATTCAATATTTCTAAGATCCTTAAGACCTAGATGGGAAAGACTAAACAGAGATGTGACTGGCCAGTTAGCTCAAAGACTGGGTCTCGGGAGCCAGGCAGCCCAGGTTTGAGGCCTGGCCTACTACTTACTTGCTCTGTGTCCCTTGGCAAGTCTTTAACCTCCGTGAGGGTCAGCTACTGTGTGTAAATGGAAGAATAAGTTAACACATGAGCTCCCTGAGTCAGACCCATGAGTGTTTAATCAATATTGGCTTTTACCTCATTTAATAAATAAGAATCATACAGTCCTGGTAGCAGAACAAAATCTTGATTCAGAACCCATAACTCTTTATTCCACACAAATCACAAAATGGGAAGGATTCAACCCCTCTCCATTCCCCACCCAGCCCCATGATACAATGATCCTGCTAGGTGTTAATTTACATAGTTCTGTGTAATCCTCACAACAGCTCTAGGAAGTACAGACTACCATTACCCTTTTTTTTAGAGATGAAAGAAATTGATTCTTTGCAACACTAACCAGCCAGGGTCATTTAAGAAATGCCTAAAATGGATGTCAAACCCAAACTAATCCCACAGCAAGACTTGGAGTCCATTATACTATAATTCCACTACCAGACCATTCAGCAAAGAGGAGCTATGGAAACTTCTGTTTTGCCATGCTCAGCCTGGAAATACTGCTGTGCATAGATAAGAGAAAAATTCCAAGACGTCCTAACTTTAATCACAAGGACCACAGATGGAGCAGGGGAGAGGTAAAAAAGTTATTCAGTGAACCTCCATCGGCCAAGCCGAGAGAGGCTATTCCACTCTCTTAAACATATGCTAAAACTCTAACTGAACCCCAGCAGCATTTCATCCTGTTTCCAATTCCAATCAATCCAGAAACAATGAGTTTTTCTCCTTGTGATCTGTCTTCCTACCCAAACTCTCCCCTGCTTCATGTTACGTGTTCCCGCTTATCTATGGCCAATCTAGGTCCAATGTAACTGTCTCAGCTTCTCTTCTCTCATTGCTGGGACAAATACTTGATACCCAAAATGAGGGAAGGGAAGGAAAGGTTTATTTAGCTCATGGTTACTGGAGGTTTCAATTCATACTCGACTGGCTCCAAGGCAGAGTAGCACAGGCAGAGAGCAACCTTTCATGGTGGCAGAAAACAGCAAGAGTGAAAGGGAGGAGTAGCAGCAATAATGGCAACAGATAATAAGTTTGTCTCTCTGTCTCTCTTATGTTACATTCAGGCTAACCACCCCAGGCTGGGTGCAGCACTCACACCCATAATCCCAGCAATACCCACACCCATAATCCCAGCAGTGCCCAGACTCATAATCCTAGGCTTGGATCATGAATTAATCACAAATCTAGAAGTCTGCCCCATGACTGCATGAGGTTTTGGGGGAACAACTAGACACAAACCACAGCAATGCTTTATACCTTTGTTCCCTAAGTTTTCATTATAAATATGTTCTTAGCTTCTAGGCCCAGTGGACTTTTTCTGGCTGGCATCTATAATAGCTCAACAAACTCCCTGACTACAGAGATGCTTCTTAAGAAATATATAGGGGCTGGGGAGATGGCTCAGTGGAATAAGTGCTTCCCTGGCAAGCTCAAGGGCCTGAGTTCAGTCCCTGGTTCCAGGAAAAGAAAAAAAAAAGAAAGAAAGAAAGAAAGAAAGAAAGAAAGAAAGAAAGAAAGAAAGAAAGAAAGAGAAATAATGTATGTTTTTAATATCTTATTTTTCTTTTAAAAAGCTTGAGACAGTGTCTTCCTATATAATTTAGGTTGGTCTTGAACTCACTATGTAGCCCAGGTTGGCCTCAAATTTAGTCTCCTGAGTGCTAGGCTTATAGGTATGCATCAATACACCCAGGCTTTTTTCTTTTAAATTGACATATAGTTGTACATATTTATGGGATACAACACGAGAATCTAAATACATGTACACAAAGTGTAATAGCTAAATCAGTATAATTAACATTTCTATTTTCTTATTTGTGTGTGTGTGTGTGTGTATGTGTGTGTGTGTGTGTGTGTGTGTGTGTGTGTGTTTGGAGACTTAGAATGCCTCTCTTCTAGTTCTTAAAACAATATAAAACAGGTTGTTATGAACTATGGTCACCCTACCATGTAACAGAACACTAGAACTTATTTCTGCTATCTAGCCATATTTTGGGGTCCACTATCCAATCTCCCTTCATCTGCTGCCATCCTTCCCACCCTCTAGTAATCACTACTCCACTTTCTTCAAGAGCAATTATTTTAGCTTCTACATGTGAGTGAAAACATACGGTATTTGTGTTTTCTGTGCTGGCTTATTTCATTTAACATAATGTCTTCTAGCTCTATCCATTTTGATGAAAATAAGGTATTTTTAGATAATATCACCATTTGGGTAAAAATGTCACCAACTACAACTTGAAAGAGGCAATCCCTCATAAACACAAAATACCTTTCTTCTTTAATGGACATTTATATCATTTTATACGTGTTGCCCAAACTACTTATACTAGTCAACTTTCAACAGCTGTGACAAAAATACCTGACAAGTTAAAGGAGAAAAGAAGTGTTTGGGCTCCCAGCTTCTGAGACCTCAGTCCATGGTCAGAGGGCTCCAAGGCAGGAACCGCATAGCAGAGGGCATCACAGAAGAATGTTGCCCAATGCATTCAGCCAGTAGGCAGACAGAACGGGGAAGAGTCAGACAAAGACACACCCTGGGACGGCATGCCTCCACTGACCTACCTCCTCCAGCCGGGCTCTGCTTCTTAAGTTCTATTACCTTTTAACAA